GGAAGCAGCCACAGGCTACAGGGATGCACATTCCGCAGCATTTGGGCCCGCGAAGTCGACCCAGACCTGGGCCTCCGTCCTCTGGGGTTTAGAAGATGAACTGAGGAAAGAGGAAGGAAGTTGTTTAATCTTCACGCAGCTTTCAGCAGTCAGGATCCCTTCTCCGCTAAGGAATCGGCAGTAACGAACTAGACGTAGAGTCTGCTTAGCAGACAAATTCTTTCATGAATCAGCGTGTTTTGTGCTTGTGAAAACCGCAGCAGGGTTTATTGTGCTGCTGAGGAGATGGGGGAAAACACCAGGAAGCAGAGCTGGGCGGCAGCCCGTGTGGCTTTTTGGTCAGGGCCCTTCCTGGTCACTCCCTGTGCTGCCTCTCTGGCCAGTATACAGGAAGTTCTAAATGAGTTTTGACCCAGACAGGATAGAGACCCATATATATGTGCAACCAATAAGAATCAATGTTAAACAACCATAACAAAACGGGAAACACTCAACCCAAGAAAATCTCTAAGTACGTCACAGGCAAGATCATCCTTCCTTCATCGGCCCTTCACACACCCTTCCCCACCGCCCCAACCCTCCAACCACAAAGGAGTTTTCAAGTGCAACAAATAGTTTTGTTAAGAAAGGCATAAAGTAATTTCAGGGGCTATATATTCTATGCAGGTGACTGTATAGTACGACCGAGCAGAGCTACATGATATAACATGGTCACAGTGGCTAAAGATCAGATCATGGGGACGACAATAGCAGAAACAGACAAATAAAACTACGTCAAACTTAACACTTCTGCACATCAGTCAACAGAGTCAAAAGGTAGCCTACAGAATGGGAGAGAACATTTGCAAATCATTATCTGATAAGGGGTTAATATCCAGACTATATTCCTACATCTCTACACCAATGATGAACTTTCAAAAAGAGAAATTAAGAAAACAATCCTATTTCCAATTGCATCGACAACTATAAAATACCTGGGTATCAAATTAACCAAGAAGGTAGAAGACCTGTTTTCAGAAAGTTATGTCATTGAAAAAATAAATTGAAGAAGATACAAATAAATGGAAGCATATACTCTGCTCACGGGCAGGAAGAACCAACATTGTTAAAATGGCCATACTATCCAAAGCAATCTATAGAGTCAATGCAATCCCTATCAAAATGCCAATGGCATTTTTCAGAGAGTTAGAACAAATAATCCTAAAATTTAAATGGAGCCATAAAAAACCCCAAATAGCCATGTCGATCTTGAGAAAGAAGAACAACATTGGCAATACCACACTACCTGATATTAAACTATACTACAAGGCTACAGTAATCAAAACAGCATGGTACTGGCATAAAAACAGATACATTGATCAATGGAACAGAATAGAGAGCCCAGAAATAAATCCACGCCTATACACTCACTTAATATATGACAAAGGAAGTAAGAATATACAACGGGGTAAAGACAGTCTCTTCAATAAATGGTGCTGGGAAAAGTGGACAGATACATGCAAAAAGAAGCTGGACCATCTTCTTACACCGTATACAAGAATAGACACAAAATGGATTAATGATTTAAATGTAAGACCCGAAACCACAAAACTTTTAGAAGAAAACATAGGCAGTAAACTCTCTGATATTACTAACAGGAATTTCTTTTCAGATATATCTCCTCGAGCAAAGGAAACAAAAGAAAAAATAAACAAATGGGACTACGGCAAAGTAAAAAGTTTCCGTACAGCAAAGGAAAACTGTTTGGGAAAAGATATTCGCTAATGATACATCTGATAAGGAGTTAATATCCAAAATTTATAAAGAACTTATACAACTCAACAACAAAAAAAAACAAACAATCCAGTTAAAAAATGGGCAGAAGACCTGAACAGATACTTCTCCAAAGAGGAAATACAGATGGCTAATAGACATATGAAAAGATGCTCAAGGTCGTTAATCATCAGAGAAATGCAAATTAAAACCACAATGAGATATCAGTTCACACCTGTCAGAATGGCTATCATCAGTAAATCAAAAAACAAACGCTAGTGAGGATGCAGAGAAAAGAGAACTCTCATACATTGTTGGTGGGATTGCAAATTGGTACAGCCACTATGGAAAACAGTATAAAGTTTCTCAAAAACTTAAAAATGGATATACCTTTTGATCCAGCAATTGCACTTCTGGGTATTTATCCAAAGAAAACCGAAACGATAATTCATAAAGTATTACTCAGCCATTAAAAAAAAATGAAATCCTTCCATTTGCAACGACATGGATGGACTTAGAGGTTATTATGCTGAGTGAAATAAGTCAGACGGAGAAAGACAGATACCACACGATTTCACTTATATGCGGTATCTAAGGAACAAAAAGAACAAACTAATCAAGAGCAGACTCACAAATACAGTGGACAATTTGGCGACAGAGGGATGGAGGGTTGGGAGGCTGGGAGAATGGTGTGAAGGGTTAAAGAAGTACAAATTAGTAGTTGATAGCTGGGCACGGGGAGCATGGCAGAGGGAATGCAGTCAGCATTAACATGATGGCTAAGTGGAGGGCCAGGGGAGGGAGGGAGCAATTGGGGGGATCAGTTTATGAACATTATAGATGTCTAACCAATGTACTGTATACTCAAAACTAATTTAAATAAATAAGTGTATTTTTTTAAAAAGAATTCCTACAACTCAAGTACAGCAAGAACAAATAACCTGATTTAAAAATGGAAAAAAAGATAGAATAGACGTTTCTCCAAAAAAGATAGACAAAAGATAGCCGAAGAGCACATGAAAAGATGCTTCACATCGCTAATTGTTAGAGAAATGCAAATCAGAACCACAAGCTGTCACCTCACACTCATTAAAATGGCCACTATCAAAAAACAAAACAGAACAGAACAGAAAATAGCATGTATTAGCGAAGATGTGGAGAAATTGGAAGCCTTACGTACGTACTACTGATGGTGGGACTGCGAAATGGTGCAGCTGTTATGGAAATCAGTACGAAGGTCCTTCAAATAATTAAAGACAACTGCCACGTGATCCAGCAATCCCACTTCTGGATATTTATCCAAAAGAACTCAAAGCAAGATCTCGAGGAGCTACTTGCACACTCATGTCTATTGCAGCATTATTCACAATAGCCAACAGGTGGGAGCAACCCAAATGTCCACTGACAGATGAATGGATAAACCAAATGCGGTCCATACACACAATGAATGGAATATCATTCGATCTTAAAAAAAAGAAAGAAAAGGAAATCTCGCTGCGTGCTTAGTGAAATAAGCCAGTCATGAAAAGCAAACACTGTCCATGAAGTATCTAGAGTCATCAAACTCACAGAAACAAAGTAGAATGGCTGTTGCCAGGGGCTGGGGGCAGCAGGGGTGGGGGGATGGGTGGGGCTGCTGTTGAATAGCTGGGTTCAGAGGCTTAGTTTTCCAAGACGAAGAAGTCTCAAGGTCTGTCACACGGCAATGTGTCCAGACGTAACAAAACTGACTGTACAGCTGAAAGTGATTAAGGTGGTAAATTATATGTTATGCGGGATTTGTTTTTTTAACCACAGTCAAAAAAAATTTTTTTAAGTCAGACTGGGATTTTTTAACAAGGTATTTAACCCCTCAAATTTCAGTTTCCTCGTCTATAAAATGGACACTGTCTGATACCTAACAAATGTTCAATTAAAAGTAGCTTTTATTTTTGTTGAGTGTTAGCAAGGGTTTTTAACCTTTGACTTTTTCTGGAAGCTTTGCTCTCCTTCCCAGAAAGGTCAGGGCTTTAAGATCCCATCTTGCTCGCTCTTAGGGTCAGAGACCATCGCGGACCTTTCAGCCTGGGGAATTCCCAGCCTGAATGCCTTTGCTTCTCCCCGGGCTTCTGAGTAGGCAGCCGTGTGGGCACAAAGTTCCCTTATTTTGTTGTACCCTGGTCACCTTCACACGTGCTGCTGGGCCGCCTAGACTCTCTTAATCTTCTTTTATCCCAACTTCGTTTCTGATGTCATTAGCGTAAACAGACTTGCTAATTTAGTATTATCACAATCCCTCTTAACAGCTGGGTTATCACTTACTGTCACTTTCAATGACAGTGTTACTGTGGCCATTGGATCTTGGTGGTTCAAATTAGTGTCCCCTAAATAATCACTGGAACATTCCCATTCCCTCTGGAGGCAAGGGCACTAAGATGTCCACATCTTGTTTGAAAATTTGAATTTATGATAAATTGTGCGGTAGGTTTCTGCTTTGCAAAAAAGAAAGAGAAGAGAAAAGTGAAGTGTGACATCCAGTGACAGCTGATTCAAGCTGCTGACACCAGAATCGAAGGGCAGGGGATTCATTTGGAGCATCGTAGGGGTGGAGTGCTGGAGTCCAAACCCTTCATTTTTGGAAAAGAGGAAGTCGTGGGCTGGAGAAGGGCTGAGAGTTGGCCCAGGACGTACCTCCCTTAAGTGCTAAATTCTGGGTCCCCTCGCGGCCCCCGCCTGCATGCTCTCATCTGCACTTCCCACTCGAGGATCATGGACTGTCGTGTCGCTCTATCTAACTGTCTCAGTTGTCTGTCTTTCCATAATTCAAGAGTAAGATCACTGGGCCGAGGGCACTCTAGGCTAGAGGCCCTAACAAATGCATCACGCTTGGTTTTGCTCAGTGGAGTAGATGGGCACAGGAAGACTAGAATGATCACATTTATTGAGCTTCAGGTTTTACTTCCCTAAATCTGATCACTTTTCTAAAATGATATTCTGGAAGGAAATATTTCCTTAAAGTTTAGGTGTTTCATATTTTCCTTCTTGAAGAGATGGGAGAAGGAAGCCCTTGTTGTCTGGATATTACAGAGCGTGACAGCATCTGCACCAATTTACAGATGAGTCAAAAATTTAGTCGCTGAAGTTTAACGCCATTGAGTACAGTCAAGGTGACATTTACCCAGAAAACCATCAAGGTAATTTGTACCAAGATGCTCTCTGTACCTTACAGAATGTCAGTGTTCCCACTGATTAGCTGATTTGATGACAAAGCATCTGTTTAGTTCTCCTCCCTTAGTAGCAAAATCAAGCAGGCCAGCCTGACAGATACGGTTCCTGTGGGATCAGGATGGATGCACGGGTGCTGGTGCGTTGACAGCAAAAATATCTGTGGCTGGAGGTTCGTGGGTTTAGAGGAAAAATTAAAAATTGTGTTCAAGAAAGAGCATCAAGTGTCAAAGTCGGAATTCTTCCAAACAGATTATCAAGAGGACTTGACAGTTCGAGAGCTGGACTGCAGATAAACAGGGGATTGTTTCAGGTGAAACCAAGTGAATGCCAAAGCGATGCCCACTGCTGTGTGCTCACTGGAGAATGACTTTCCATATCAACTAGGAATGTGGTGTAGACAGGCACCACCCGACGGAAGGCTTGCAGAAGCAGCAGCAGCTTCCTGGTGGACTCGGCAGGATCGATTCGTTGCTAGGTACGCCTCTAGAGCGATGCCACCCGACGGAAGTGTCACGGGAGCCACATCTACAAATTCTAGTAGCTGCATTTAAAAAAGGAGAAAATAAAGTAAAAGCAAAAAAAAAAAATCGTCCCACACCTGATCATCCTTCTAGCATTTCTGAAATTACAAGTATATAAATTTTACATTAATTTTTCTTATAGACTCAGATATAATAGTCACAACATAGGGGAAAAAATAGGCGATGTAGACATCCATTGCCCGGCTCGAAGCTGAAAGGGCTAATTTCTTCGCTCTCCTCGACCTCACTTCAGGCCAGGTCCCATCACTGCCCAGGGGGAGTTAGAATGACCAATGACTAATCAGACTCTGGCTTTAGAAATTAAGGGACATAGAATTTAGTTAGATGATGGCAGGTCCTTAATAGAAAGATCACAGAGTCAGACCACGCTAGGTCCTGTGAAATGAGACCTCTGGCAGAGGGAGGCGGGAGGAAGCGGGGAAGGAGAGGGGAGAGAGGGAGAAATGACACAAACTGGGGCGTGGGGGAAAGTGGAGAGCAAAGCCCAGGACAGTCAGTGGTCTGTCTCCGAGCCTGGCTTCCTGAAACCACTTTCAGTATCACTTCCAGGTAGCCAGCTGGCCTGCGGCTGGCTTTATTTCCTGTCTCTCAGAGCCTTTGAGGTTCCCTCCTGTATGTTCACAGTCTTCCTCCTTTGTTCTAGCTTGAGTAGGTTTTGTTTTCTTGGAACCCACACTTTTCTTTGATCGAAGACACAGCCATCACACCTTAGAGGTGGTTTCTTGAGAGGAGGTAGGGAGGGGCTGGTGAGGGGGGGGGGGCCCAGGAAGGGTCGGAAGGGTGAAAGTAAAAGGCATTTAACTTACAATTTTACTGAGAGCTCATCTCTTGCCCTTTGACAAAACAGGATGACATAAGCTATTTTCTTCTTCAAACAAAACCCCCACCAAAACAGAGAAAAAGTCAAATAATGACTTTTCCCCAGGTTTTTGTGCCACTGTCCACCTCCGCTGCAATTCGCGACTGTTGTGTTCTCCTCACAGCCCCTCAGAGCTACGAGGGCAGGAGAGCGTGTCCCTTCCCTCACGAGTGCGGGGAGCTCGGTGGCATTCCCATCGCCCTGACTGCGGAAGGTCTGAGAGCCGAACACCGCAGCTGCCGTGCCACACGATGACGAATATGCTGGCGGTGTTTGCTTTAAATGAGATTGCACCCATTTTTTAGAAATTCATACACCTGTCCCATAGGGTATTGAAAAGGGAAGAGAGGTGAGACCTCGTCAAGTGGGGGTGTAAAATAAAAGGTTAAATTAATTTACTGATACATTTTATTTAACCCAATGCATTCGTTTTCTAGGGCTGCCACAAACAGAGTGGCTTGAACAACAGAAATCTATTGTTTCACAGTTTCAGAGCCAGGGGTCAGATCGAAGTGCCAGCGGGGCCAAGCTCCCGCTGAAGGCACAGAGAAGGGCATGTTCCCGGCCTCTTTCCCAGCTGCTATAGCTCCTGGCTCAAGGCACTGTAACTACAATCTACGCCTCCATCCCTATCTACATGGCCTTCCCTCTGGGTGTCTCTACGTGTCCGATCCTCATCGCATAGGGACACCAGCTGTTAGACTTAGGGCCCATCCTAAATCCAGAGTGACTTCATCTTGAGATCCTTAACTAACTCCATCTGCAAAGACTCTATTTCAAATAAGGTCACATGCTGAGGTTGCAAGTGGACATGAATTTGGAGGGGACACAATGAGGCCACCACACAACCGTTCACGTAAAAGCCTTTCACTTTTGCTGTTAGTATGAAAGTGTTCACATTAAAATGAGAACAGGTATTTAAAACATCACGAGCTTGTTTTAATCAGCATTGCACAGACGACTAGTGAGACAGGGCTTGTCTACTTGAAGTTCTACGAACACCTCTTGGTCTTACACATTTTTTCAACTGTCCTGATCTCCTTTTCTTATTGATTTCTGAGAAAACATGATTTCCCTGGTCCGAACAGTGCAAATGTTTTTGCCGTTTGACCCCGTATATGGAGATTTTAAGCAGTTAAATTTAAAAACATAAGACGTTTGTCATACAAAGAAATAAACGATCCACACCAATATTATAGTTGTTCTGGTACCATGGTTTGAAATCTATAGGTTTAAATATTTGACCCATCACAAAAGGACTGAGTACAGAGGCAATAAAGAAACAGCTAGCCTCCCCTAATCCAGAGAACTAAACTGTTTCCCCTTAATTTGTGTCAGTAATTGGGAAAGCAATTAAGTAGCCAGAAACAAGAGTTCTAATGTTACAATATATCAAAAGAGAAAGAAACATACCAGCAACATAAGGAAACATACGCATTTAATATGATACCAGCTACTCCAAAGGACAGATCGATCAAACTAGGAAATAGGCTATACTGTGATTATTTTCAAATTTTAAAATATTTGGAAAGTTGGCATTCACGCAAAAAACTAAAAAGGATTCACCCACACCACAAGGAAGGGGAAGCAGAAATATGTGAGGGATGCAAACACAACATCTGTACCTGTACCCGCTTGGGCACAGGCAGGGAGGGAACCCGTCCACGATGAGAACCAGGACGGCGAAGGACATCTTGACCGAAATGCACCCTCATGCTGGGAACCTAAACTCAGACCCATAAGTTAGCCATACCTGGGCATCTGGACAGCCTGGATATGTGACAGACACTGCAAAAATAGGTGTAAGATCAGCAAAGGGTGGCGAGGGACACCAGAGTGGGCACCACCTGTCTTTTCGAATTCACAATAATGCAGTAAAAGTAAGGCTGCATGACCTCAGCGTCAGCATGTGATAAAATAAGCGACAGAGACACTGATGCCTCCGTCGGCCCCGGAACCGGGCCCTGACTCCTCGATTCGCTAGAGACATAGAAGAAAAGAGATCAAGAGCAGGGAGCCTGGGTGACGAGCCGGGGACCAAGAAGACGCCCACGAGCGTGGGCCAAAAGGAGGATACAGGAGTCGGGAGGAAGAAGGAATTCCCTGACCGGGAATCGAACCCGGGCCGCGGCGGTGAGAGCGCCGAATCCTGACCACTAGACCACCAGGGAACGCGGACGACGAAGCCACCCTGCACACAGCTCCCGGCCCCACAGCCGGGTCCCTGCACACAGCTCACGGTCCCACAGCCCGGCCCCTGGGCGCCAGACCCAGTGTGTCTCCACCCGCAGCTCGTGACCCTGACGACCCAGCGCACGCTCCCCCTCCCCCCGCACCTCCAAAACACTGCGACCCCGCGCCCGCACTCGCGCGCAGCCAGCGCCCAGC